TGATCTTAAGCCATAAATACAATCGATGAATTGTTTATATGTAATGTGTTTCAATCTGACAGACGTAGTTATAATTCACTCTTCATTTTCTTCACTGTTTGCTGTTTTCTCTAAGATCGGCGATAAATCCTCGCCGTTGTCTCAGTTTAGGGCATGCTTGTGTCAGTGGCGTTTCTTTAGTTTTCTGCTTGTGGTAGCTTCTTTCGCACTATATCTTTTTTATGTATTTCTAGTGAATGCTGTCCTCTCTTACTGCATGTTCAATTACTGTGAAGTTGACCTAGGTATTTATCTTATTTAGTTTGATAGGTGTGTATCCAGGTTTGAGATATGTAAAATTTGTTATAAATCTACGGCATGGAAATATGCGCATCCAACTACATATTTTCTATCTAGGTATGATATGTGGAGTCAAGTATGTATCTCGACTTGAGGTTTATAAAATTGCTTATAAATCTGGATGGTAGGCAGTTAGATTTGTAAACCTTGGACAGCGTGGTATGCATGTCTAAATAAGTATTCGATATCTAGCTATGATCTGTAGATTATGCATGTATCTGTGTTTGAGATATGTAGGATTTGTTGTATATCTGTGACATTGAGATTTACAGATCTGTAAATTTAAGAGCTTAATCATTTATCCGACGCGTCTTCGTTGTGGGCGAACGACGAGCGTAAGCTGATACTCATCCAATCTTCGCTCTTCTTGAACGTTGTTTAACAGTAGTACTTCTTAAGTCTATTCGGTCTGCCAACCCTTGTAAACCATTGCTGCTGCTGAATATCCAGCCCAAGCGTTGACCATGGCCAAATATCCGTGAGAGTGACGGGCACCTACCATCTCAGCCTGCTGCAGCAGGTTACAGAAAAATATCCAGTGTCTCAATTTAGTAGTAGAAGTCTATGATCTCGATCTGTTAATTCAAGACATTCACATCTGCACTCTAAATGTATGCTCTATATCTAGGCATATATCTAATATATATATATTGAATTTTGAGGCCTGTCCATCGATTAGCGTCCTTAATTGTTTTCAGTGTCTCAAGCAGCAGAAATCCAAGATCTAAATCTGCAAATTCAGGAATATTCAGATCTGTATACCACATATGTGTTCCGTATGTAAGCATGATCGACAAACCTAAATATATGTGTAAAATATTGATGCTTGTAGATCTGTAAACGTAGGATCTCGATGTTTAACTGTGCGTATTTAAGAGTCATTTTAAGTGACTCTTCTTCTGTTCTGCGGAATCTTTTACGGAATTCGCTAAATGGTCAGATCACTCTGAAGCGAGAAAGACCAGGTTTGTTCGAATTTATGCTATCTTGAAATTCAGCGTATTTACATACACCAGTCATTCGCATATTTAGATGGGATTTTTTTATCTGTATATTTTGTGCTTTTATTACTGTTATGTTTTGGTTTTCGCTTTTATTTGTTATACGTATATTGTTATGCCACTGGGTCATGTGACTGCTCAAATGAAAGTGGATGCTGACTTACGCGCTATTCGCATATGTTTATATGCAATAAACTTTTTGACTGATTTAAAGTATGTTTGATTGATTCTGTATGACAGGACAGAATTGTTTGGCATAGTGAAGTAGAGAACAGCACAGTATGTTGCACTTACTTGATTATTCTATACTAAGGTATTTTCCTGCTGTGCGTTACCCGACAGTATTTGGTTAATTTCAAGTTGAATAGTTAAAACTTTCGTAGATTTTCACCGTTATGCAAATTTAAGACCGAATAATAAATTATTTCCGAAAATATCACGACAGTTCGAAACCCTTGATTAGTAATAATTCGAAGAAAATTGGTCGTGCTCTTGATGTTAGTATACGCTTGATTTCGCATATTTTTAAGTACAATTTATTAAAAAGTATTGTTTATAAATCATGGGATTCGTCTATCTTCGGTCTACTACTGTTTTTACCATCTAGCGTACACCATGGCTGATTTTTGCAGATGCAGTTGCATCGAAAGGCCGAACTTTCATCTTCAATATGGAAATTGATCGGCGCCTTGAGTCCATTGCGCTTCGAACCCAAAGCCATAGTAATGAGAGAAGTGCAACACGTCGCCCCGAGGCAATTGTAAATGAATATAAATGGCTAAATTTGTGATTTGTTTAAATGAATTCATTTTTGACTGATATACGACGATTTAATGGATTGTTCACTCACTGCATTAAGTACGTCGCAGATGACAGTGATGACGATCGAATTTCTGTTGTTTAGATTGTCAGAGAAAAAAATTCTCTGCTCAACTTTTAAAATCGATGTACTGAAATAGGATTCAATATGGCATGGGCAATATAATATTTTCATAAACCTTGAATTAACCAGGTCTTGTCTGTTCCTTTGTATTCTGCGCTGTGATATACCACATTAAATGAAACTATTTTGCTACTCTGTGCAATAGCTGACCTAATTATAACCCATTAGGCTTGCCGGTTGAATGAAATTATTTCACAATACCATGAGTGTACTTAATTACTTGATTATTTGGGGTTATTGACATAAATCGTGACCGTTAGGTTGTGTTTACCATTAGATGAGGTAGTGGTTATCTTCTTCGGTCATTAGGAATGGTTGTGGCAGGCAGTTCACGAGAGACCGCTCAAGTAAAGCAGGCCTTTCTGGCCACGATATTTCTACCTCACAAATTTTCACTTTTCGTAAAATGTTTAAGCAATGCTGGCGATTCCATTTGCCCTGGTTTGCCAGTTTTTTGACTGTTGTTCTGTTTCATTCACAGCATCGTTCAAAGATGTGAAAAATCTTAAGGTTTTGTGGTATACTTGAGCATATCGTTTGCACCATTTGGAAAACATCCATGCACGCGGTATTTTTACTCTCAGGATATAAAGGAAGCAGTTTGAGTAGTTCTCTGTTAGTATGTGCAGTTCGCCATGGTGATGCGTTTTCGCGTTTGTTATCCAACATCGTTATCAGCTTTCTTTTCCAAACAGTGCTGATCCTGGGTAAGTCGTGGTCTCATTTTAGAAGGAAGGCGCAGTTCAAGATATCGGATTAGATATCCTACTGACCTGCAGTATGCAGATGGCATTATCCTGGTGAGTAGTATGAGTAACGTGCTGTGTCACCTGACGGCAAGTACTTGCAGCGCAGCTGATTTAGCAGTGGAACAGGGTAGTGAAACACTTAACGTGGTTGATCAGTTTGCGTATATAGGCTCGATTATCTCCAGTGCTTGCATCATCGAACGGGTTCGCTTTAACCTAGAGTACTTTTGGACACTTGTCCAATTAATGTGCTGAAAAAGAAGTTATTCTTCCCATAAAATTCCACCTGTACGTTGTCTTTCTCAGGTCAGCGTTGTCGTCTGGCATGGCTACAGTTGTTCTTACGAAGGAGCTAGAACTGCGGTTGAAATGCGTACGGCAGCGTTGGCTTCACGTTAACCAAGATTAGATTGCAGGATCTTGTTAAGAATAGCTATTCTCTTCCTGTTAAGTCTGTAGATTGCAGAGGTTACGTCTGTAGATGTGGACATTAAAGGAAGAGAGTTCTCTCTTAGACAAGGGTTGAGCATAAACTGTTTCCTCCTGACCACGAGCTTCTGTTATGGAAACCGATAGACAAGAAACGTTAACCAGGAAGCCAGTGATGGAGGGACAAGGTAAAGAAAAATCTATTTTCGGCAATGAGTATATCGTCCTGCGATGTAGTAACCGGCAATTTTTACTAAAAGTGTTGAAAACCTATGGATATCGCAAACCAAAGACATTCTGCTTTGCAAACGGCTCTAAATGATGATAAGTGATGATTTCAACAAGCATACACGGAAAAACTGGCATAAGGTGCGAGATGCACTGCATGCGTGATATTTTTTGAGGGTAAGACTGTTTATGTCAATCCATCTTTCTGGTGTTACAATTTTGGCCTTCTGTTCCTAGACAGATGGGCGTAAAACGTCCGTAGATATCTGCCAGTCCTTTACGATCCATAAAACGCTTTCCCGACATCCTTGGTGATTAGAGGGAATGCACTTCCTGATCTTGCATTGCTCGTTTCAGTCCTATACTACGTGAATAGGCATTACAGTGCCCATTTCTCAGAAAAAACCCAATTAACCTAATCAACAATAACATGGTA